CCTGAAAATCCCGAGAATTAGGAACTAGGGTTTCTTCTGCACTAAGAATTCCCAAATCCTGGAAAACTATTTTTTTTAAACCACAACTTGAGTGCCAAGTGAGACACTCCAGTATAACTTGAGACATGAGGATGACTGACAGCTTCCTCTAGATTGCCTCTTGACAGTCCCAGAACAAAACGAGTCCTTAGCAGAAACTGTAATCTGAAACCTCAGTTTCCCTTCTAGTTCTCCACGTCTCAAATTGTCAATCTCGCCCCGCCCCCTTCATGCCCTGAGCCAATCAGAGGGCGGCGTCCCTCCCTCCAGTTGCCATGGCGCCCGCCCTATCCCACCCATCACTCACCAGATGTGCGGCGGCTCTTCCAGTCGGTGGAAGCGGGTGGCAAAGGATAGCAGCGTCACCAGGACCAGCAGGGCCCACCCGCCGGCTGCCTCGAGGCGCCGCGAGCCCTGAGCAGGCCCTTTGGAGCTTGGCGCTGCATCCTCAGCCGCCACGTCCGGGCCCACGGTCCTAATGGCCTGGGACCTACAGCGGCCCCGTCGGGCGCGCAGCTCGGACCCTGACAGACCTCCGCCCATTACGGGCGGCATCCTTCCCCTCCTCAGGACAACCCTCCGGCCCGGTGGCACACTTGGTCTTGTCCGCTGCCCCGCCAAGAAGTCACAAAGGGGCAGCGCGGGGTGGCCCGGGAAGTGTAGTTCCTTCCACCGCCAGCGAAGCGCGGAGCCCGGAGCTGAGGGCTGGGCGGGCAGCGTGGTCGCCTCCTGACCGCTAAGAGGCGGCCCGTGGAGCAAAGCATGACGGGACTGGTAGGGCCGGGGAGGACGGAGCGGGCGGGGAGACGGGCTCAAGGAACTGCACTTCCCAGGAGCCCCGCCGATGGGGGCGTGGCGAGCGGGACGAGCCCCTAGAGCGGGCTGGGGTCATTCCACTGAGCTTTCAAAGGCGAGCAGTCGACGACTTCCAGGAGCCAAGTTTCTAGCCCTGGAAGAGGCGACTCTGGAAGTGCGAGATGCAAGCTGGAAAGGTCTGTGCCGCGCCTCCAAGGAAGGGGGCGCTAGACACTGAGAACTCGTAGGGGTGGGGTCAAAGGTGAGCATTCCTCACCCTCAGTTCCGACATCGACCCCCAGCATGCAGTGCGCTGCGCCTGTCAAGCTCTGCGCCTGCGCACTGACCGCAGGGTGCTTTGTAGTGGGGGGCATGGTGGGCGTCCAGATGGACGTTGTGGGGCTGGCTGTTTTCACTAAACTGCTACCAGGACTTCCAAATGTTTCCGTTCAGCTCTTGCACACATCCCTCCGTGTTCCTTTCCCAGCTGGTCAGACTGACAGGTTCTAACAAAGTATGGGTTCAGAGATATTTGTAATTCAACCAAAAGCCGTGTCACGTCACTTGGAGAGAGATATGCAAATCTCTTCTTGGGATCCTCTTTAGAACCCTCTGGAGGAAAGGGCCTGAAAAACTGCATGTCAAAAAAAGTGTCCCAGATAATTCGTACTCCGGTGTTGTTGCTGGAAGGGAACTGGTGGCATAGTGGAAAGCAGTTCCACTGGCAATCCAAAGGGCTTAGCACGAGAAAGATGGGCAGGCTCCTCCCATGCAATTAACTGCTGCCTCTGAAAATCAGAGGGAGAGTCAACTATGAATCAGTTCCAACTCCTTGGTATCTAACAACATAAGTTGTAGCTGAAAGGATGGAACACAGTGTCACTTTACTACTGCATAGAAGCCTTTGTGGTGGTGTCATTAAAATTACTGGCTACAAACCAGAGTGTTGATGGTTCAAACCAATGAGCTACATCTTGGGAGATACTGTAGAATTATGGTCATAGATCCATATAGGGTAGTTCTGCTTCAAAACAGCAGGGTCATTTTTAGTTGGAGTAGATTCCACAACAATGAGAGGTTTTTATTTCGTACTTTATGGCCCTCCTGTTTCCAAGTGGAATTTTAGGAGTCTTTCTCAATATATCAAGGTGTCAGAGGGGAAAGAGAACTCTGTTAGAATGTCTGTAATCAGAGGGGTGGTAGACAGAGGTGATCGGAGAAATTTGCTGAGTCCTACCCATATGGATGTAACGTGTGCCTGAAGACCCAAGAGTGCTGTTAATCAAGGATCCTGGGTGATGCAACAGTTCAGCTCCTGCTGCTAATGGAAAGGTTGGCAGTTCAGATCTGCTCAATTTCTCCATGAAAAAAAGACTTAGTGATTTGCCTCCATAAATATTATCACTAATAAATCTCTTTGGGACAATTCTAGTTTGTTACCTGAAATCACTATCAGAATCTATAGTACCCAACAATCCCTGGTGACTCTATCTTAGGTCCTACTTTGAAATGCTGACATTGAAAACAAATAGCACCAACTGTAAAAACAGCATGGTGGCAGCATCAGACCACCTTGTCTAAATTCACAAAGGGAGGAGTGAGAATTAACAGTATAAGCCTAGGTTCATTCGTATGAGGCAGAAAACGTACATCCCCAACCTTTTTACCAATTCTGACATCATCTTACGGCACTCTCTACTTCTCTCCTGGGTTTAGTAATTCATTGTAATTACCACAGAGAACTCAAAGACAATACTTATGATTATGGAATTTATTAAGGAAGTGACAAGTTACAATTCAGGAACAATTATGTTTCATTTAGTTAGTTCTTGCCTTTGCCCTGCTCAAGTAAATGTTACAGAGTTTTTGGATCTCCCAGTATGTGCCAGGGGGTGCTTCACTCTGCCTGGAAGCCTTTTGCCTAAGGACTGCCAACCCTCTTATTTCTGGGGTTGCCACACCCACAGTAGCTCCCTTGCTTCATAGAAGCCCACGGTGCCATCTCACCTGCTTCCTGGTTCTGCTGTCATACTGCCGCCTGCTGCTTCTCACCATCTCTTGCTCCTCTGATGTTAGACCTCTCTCTCTCCTGGATCCAGGAGGTTCTTGGTACAAGACCATAGATCCTTCTGCTCCTGTCTTCTTGGAGATTGTGAGGCCTTCCCTGTTGGCTTCTGGGATGGTTCAGTTTGAGCTTAGTAAGATGGCAAAACTGACTGGTACCCTCACTGGGGTTCCATCCCTTATTTGCCTGGTTCTGCCTCCACCAAGGTGCTATGTACTTTATTTGCATTATTGACAAACTGTCCAAGCCCCCTGGTGGACCACAACCACCTTATCTGTGTGCTGTTTGTTAGGTGCCATTGAGTCGACTGAGAGCCATAGGAGCTATGAACAGAGAGATTGGAAACTTGCTCTATCCAGGGCCATCCTCATTAGCCCCAGCATGCTTGAGCCCACTCTTATTTACATAGCTCCACCCAGGTAATTTGGTGAGGGTTATAAGATCATGGCTAGAAAAATCTATACAAGTACCCCATCAGTCCATAGTTAGTCACCCAGGATGCATCAGGAAAATTAACTTTTAAATGAGAGCTGTTGGCCAGGTAGAGACCATGGCATATCAAAGATGATATGCCGCCAGTCAGATCCAGTTGTTGCTACTCAGGAATCTGAATCCACAGTGTCCAGATTTTTAAGTAAAAAAAACAAAACAAAAACCCAAAACCCAAACAACAGGATTTGTACATGAAACATCCAGATTTCCAAATGTTTGCAATTCACTGGAATATTTTTAGCATTGAAGATGGCCACAGTAGGTTGGTGGTTTGCTTCCTCACTTTGGAGTGAATGGGCATATCCACCAGTTGTTTTTTCTGAGTAGTTGTTGTTATGTGCCACCAAGTTGACTGTGACTCATAGCGACCCTATGCACAGTAGCTCTGAACCCTGCCATGTCTTGAGCTAATCTTACTGTCTCCGTTTCACTTACCTCTATTATCCCGTTGACCGTGTCAAGCCATCTCATCCAGTGTCTTCCTTTCTTGTGCTGTACCTCCACCCTTCTAAGTATGATGTCCTTCGCCAAGGACTGGCCCTCCTTGCAACACACTAAGTATATGAAACAGAGCTTCAGAATCCTTGCCTCTAGGGAGCCACTTGGTTTCACTTTCTACAGGACAGACCTGTTTGTTTTTTTGGCAGTCCATGGTATGCATATTCAATACTCTCCTCCTGCACTTCACCTCAAAGACATTGATTGTTCTTCTGTCATCCTTGGTCTTTGTCCAGCTCTATGATGCATAGCTAGTAATTGTGAAGACATGGCTTGGGTCAGGCATTCCTAGTCTCCAGACTGACATCGTTGCTCTTTAGCATTCTGGAGAGGTCCCTGACAACAGATTTACCAACCTAATTTGTCTTTGGATTTTCTGACTGCTGGTGCCAAGAGGATTTGAAACAGACTGGCACTAAAACATTTTTTAAAAAATCTTACCTGCCACTTCTGGCAGAAATCAAAGCTATCACTTTAAGACAACAGATAAAGGAGCTAAAAGCTGGAGAAGGGAATGAGTTTGTCCAAGGTCACAGAGAACTGGTTCCTGTACTGGGATAGTGCCCAGGTGTGCCAGGTGATTGGCCACTGCAGCACACAAACTACTGCCTTAAAACTAAGCCACTTTGTCTGCATAAGACACCAAATTTGGGTCTACCAGAAAGTGAGCTGTTATTTGCATGAGCAACTTCCCACCAGTTGGAAAGAGATGCCCTTTCTGACCAGAGTCAAAGTTCCTGAGGTGCCTGTCTAGGCCAGCTTCCCCATTGGCTCAGGGGACCCGCCCCATCAAGTTGTCCCTGCCTCGCAGTTCTGTGAGGACATTCCAGGCACAATGACTCAACCCAGCAAGGTAAGGAAGGTATTCTCAGGCTGGCTGCCCCTATGGGGGCCTCTCCAAGCTTGGGAACGCATGGAGCCATAGAACCCCACCTGATTCCCAGGGCTGTTGACCCAGATGCAGGTCTGAGGAAGGAGGCCTTGCAAAATGGAAGAAAACTGCTGGCTTGGAGGGCCTGTCCAGTGGGCCCCTGGGGCTTAGAACCCACTGGGAGCCCACCACAGGTTGGTTAACGTAGACCCTCCTCTCTCTCCTCAGCCTGTCCTCTACTCCTATTTCCGAAGCTCCTGCTCCTGGAGAGTTCGAATTGGTAAGAGCTGGACCTCTCCAAAGCTGAGCACTTGGGTGGTGTGCAGAGTTGGCCCGGGACAAAGAGGGTGCTTGTCAGGAAAGCTTTCTTCCAGCAGCCTCAGTGTCCAGGATGCCCTGTCCCTGAATGACACCTCCACCCAGATATCTAACAAGAGGAAGGGTGGGAGGAAAGGGGTTGTTATTTTTTTCTCTCTGTGGACTGACACTTCTCGCCCACACTGCTCTCCAAAGCCCCTTAGCAACCATGTTTAAAGCAAGCTCACAAAATCCAGAGGTCCCTAGTAACAGGCAGCAGAGCAGCTGGCCTCCCTCAGTTCTTATCTTATTTGGTCTGACAAGTTAAACAGAACTGGTCTGCGTCAACCCCAGAGGCTTCGGGGAGTCAGAAACTCAGGCTCTGATTTATTCTGAGTTTACTTCCCTCCCTCAGCCCAACAGCTCTTGGTAAAGGTCACCAACACCACAGCTCATAATGAGGGGAAGTTTTACGTACGTGATTCCATTTGACCTCACCAGTCTTGGGCAGGAAGGACAGCTGAGGAAACTGAGTCACAGGGAGGTTAAGTCACTTGCCTAACATTTTGCAGTAAGAGCTGAAAGCTAAACCCAGGAAGTCCAGCCCCAGACTCCATCTCCTTGTACTGCCACGTGAGGAAGCTGCTGCACAGGAGTTAAAAGTCCAAGACCAGAGAGTTAATTAATCAAAGAGATTAGATAAAATTTGAACCTGGCCTTCAGAGCATGGGCCTTAAAGCTGTCTTCATGATTCCTCTCCCCACCCCTTGTCATTCAGCATTTGCTGGAGTCACTAAGGCAAGAGCACTGAGGTGCAGGAGGAAAAACAACTCCTCTCTGAGGGTCATTGCCCTTCCCCCAGACAGGCTGGAAGCCAGCAGGGGCCCTGCAGGGGCTGTGTGCACCAAGCTCCCTCTCCTCCCTCCTCTCTGTCCTCTTCCACGGGGACAGAGCCCCCCGGGGAGTCGTCCCTTTCCAGCCCTCGTCAAACTAGCCCCCTCTTGACTTCCTCCCCTCTCTTCTTTGCCCTTAGCCAATGAGACGTCCAGCATGTATAAGTACACAGTCATCTCCACTAGAGTTGACCCAAATATGTTAACCAACCTCTCCTTCCCAGGGAAAATGTCCCGAGGGGCTGGAGAAGAAGTCTAGGCACTGGGGATCCCGGCAGATTCTCTGAGACCGCCCAAGAGCCCTGATGCCCTACTTGGGAGCTGTAATCAGCAGGCCTGAGGAGAGAGCTTACCGAGAAAATCAACTGGGAGGGGACTTTTCTCTAAGCAGAAAAATGCCTTCTCCTTGGGCAGGCTGTGTGGTACTTGAGCAAGATGAGCACCTTCTCATGGGTGAAGGACTTGCACACCTCCAGCGAATAAGCCCTCCCCACCCCTGAGACTAGTCTAAGCCCCCAGGGCAGGGGGTAAATAGGAGGATAACTAGAACATGCTCTATGTCCACAGTTGCCACACACTTCCTCTCTACAGCCGTGGTCGCCACACGATGAGGTCAGGCACTCATCCTTTTAGCACCAAGCAGGAGACATGAGGGCCCTGTTGGCGGGGCAGAGAAAAAGTTAGGGGCCTGGTGGGGAGCAGGTGGGTCAAGGAAAGTTGACAAGGGAATAAAGCCAGCCTGGGTGGTGAGCTTTCCCTGGGGCCTCAGTGCTGCCTGGGAAGAGCTCTTCCCTAGGAGGGCAGCCCGACTGTATTGTCTGTGTCTCTCCCAGCTCTGACCTTGAAAGGCATTGACTATGAGACGGTGCCCATCAACCTTGTGAAGGATGGGGGACAGCAGGTAAGGAAGCCACCCCAGGGCTGAGGTGTAGGAAGAAGGCATTTGGGAGGTACCAGACCAGATGTGCTGGTTACTCCCCCCAGCCTAAGCCCGTGCACTCTGGTTCCCACAGCCTGGGGAGGCTCTGGCACACCTTTGTGCACCCAGAGGAGCACGGGCAGGCCCCGGCTCCAGGCTCGCCACCACAGTCCTGACCATCCAGTGCCTGACCGCTGGAGGAGTGGGTGGCTGACTGGGGTATGAGCTCGGTCACCACGCTGCAAGACAGGAAAGAACCCACAGCCAGGTTGTTAGGGTAAAGACGGAGATTCAGTATCTCTTGGAGCAGAAACTTCCCTCTGGAACCTCAAGTCCCCCTGGGAAGAAGCTTTTCCCTTGGGAGGGCAGTCAGTGGCTGTATGCTGTACCGCACCATCCGAGGTCTCCCCCAGCTCAGGAGCCTTGGAGCCAGGGCCTTCCCAAGGTAGTGGGGTGGAGGGGGAGTAGACTGAGGGGGCCCCTGTCTGCCTGGCTCTCCTTGAGTCAGCTTGGGCCAGACCACTCTGCCCACCAGGCCTTTGTCTCCACAGTTCTCTGACGAATTCCAGGCACTGAATCCCATGAAGCAGGTGCCAGCGCTGAAGATTGATGGGGTCACTATCGGCCAGTCAGTGAGTGTGGGCTTGGGGAGGTTCTTCACAAGAGTCTAGGGGCCCTGAGGAAGACCTCATTATTTCCTTGCCTTCGTGTGGCCCGGATACCGAGCACATGGGGACTGGACAGATGCTTATCTGAGGGAGGAGAGGCAGAGGGAGAGGTTATGTTGGGAAGTGAGGGGGAACTCAAGTATATAAGAGTATCCTGTTCTACAGAACAAGAGCTCCCCCCTTGGGGATCCTCCTGGCTTTGTAGGGCTCCAGCCAATAGGGAGAGGAGTTTGCTGGCCCTCCTGGTTTTCTGGTCCAGATGTCTGAGGTCCTCTCCCTGCCTCACTGCTCCTCTCTGCACAGCTGGCCATCATTGAGTACCTGGAGGAGACTCGGCCCACTCCACGCCTCCTGCCTCAGGACCCCAAGAAGAGGGCCATTGTGCGCATGATTTCAGACCTCATCGCTGGTGGCATCCAGCCCCTGCAGGTGTGGCACCTGTCCCCTTGCACCTTGTACACTCACATCTCCTCCCGCACTCTGACTTTAATACACTCAAACAAGGACCGAGACAGACCCACAGCAAGTATTCAGCTCAGGTGGGAACAGTAGAAAACAGGGAAAACTCTGGAAACCAGTCTGTGTGGTACCCCATCTTGCCCCACCCCGCATCACATTCCCTCTCCTCCCAAGAGACCATCTGAGGGAGAAGCCTTGGATGCAGGGGAGCTAGGCCTCAGGTTGTGGGCATATCTGCCCAGCCCTGGCAGTGCCTGGTGCCCTCACCCTTGTACGTCTCCCGGGTGATGGAGCATTTCAGACTTCAGGGGTCAATGGTAATATGAGACTGTGGCTGCTGGGACTGCCAGTTCCACCCAACTTCAATGTGTCAGAGTCAAGACGGAAGTGGCTTCATGGAGTCCAAGGTTAAAGGTGCACAATCTATCAGCAGAAAGGAATGAGCTGAGGGGCTCAGCTAAGGGAAGCCCACCTGACTCCATATGCCACTTACAGATTCTGTTTGTGCCACCCAGAACCTGTCTGTCCTAAAACAAGTGGGCCAAGAGAAGCAGCTGACCTGGGCCCAGAACGCCATCAATTCCGGCTTTAACGGTAAGTTCTTACACAGAAAAATGATCCCTCACACCCAGGGGCCTTCTCATAGAAAATACCTTCCCAGGCTCCTTTGAGTCTGACAGTATTCTGGGTGAGGTCAGGACTGGGCAGGCCTGAGGAGGCAGTGGGGGTTGGGTGGGCATCCAGACCTGGCCTCAACTCTGCCACTTCTGGGACCTTAGGTCTGAAGACCACACCTTTAGAACAGCCCATACTCCACTCTGCTGCTCACAGCCCAGGAAATCCGGGCCAGCAGAGGGCAGGCACCATGTGTGTGAGAGCTGGTGCTGGCCACTCTGAGGGTCTGGACTGGCCACTGGGCTTGCGGAGCCCAGGGAAACACCCAGTCCTTCTCAGTTCTTCAGAATGTGGCTGCTGCATCCCCTCAACCCACATGCCTTCTGAGTTGCCCCGCCTGTTACCCGAATAGCAGCCCATTTCTTCCTCTGACTTTTTGGGAAGATACGGGTAGACATTTGCAGAGCAAATTGGTTTTACATTCAACAACTGAGACACGGTTTGATTCATGACATCAATACAATCCCCACAATGTAATCCCAGTCTTCTCACTTCCTCCTTGCATTTAGCATTTCCAATCACCCGTCATCTTCTGTCTCTCCCTGCTTCTGAGCATTTCCCTTGGGCAGATGCAGCCCTTTGGATCCCCTGTGGCTGGTTTTTACAAGGAGTGCCTGCTTTCCTGTTCACCTCATAGGCCTGTCTGTTGTTTGACAGAAAGTTGAATCAGAGGATTGATTTCAGTTCTAAGCTTGAAGGTTTCCTAAGAGCCCTGAAATCCACAAGTCCCAATGGGATGAGTCAGCCTGTTGTTTTTTATGATTTTTCATTTTGTTCCATGTTTTTCTCCCACTCTACCCGGGACTTCCTATTGTGACCCCTTTCAGAGTGCTCTAACACTGCCTGCTCTGACTTATGACCTCCTTTGGGTTTTCATATTCCATTGGGTTTCTGAGGCTGTAAATCTTTGTGGGAGCAGACTGCTTCATCTTTTCCTCACACAGTGGCTCATGGAGTCAAACTGCTAATCTTTGGGTTACCACCCCAACATGTAACCCACTGTGCCACCAGGGCTCCTGTTCAGAGTGGTCCAGCATCCCATTTTATTGTATGGAAGCCAAGGAATAATGCTTCTTTCTGTACCCAAAGTAAAGATTGTTCCTGTGGTCTCCCCACAGCTCTGGAGAAGATCCTGCAGAACACAGCCGGGAAGTACTGTGTAGGAGATGAGGTAAACTGCCCCCCAGCCTCAGACTGTGGCCTTCCGTTTAGATTCAGTCACCCACCTGCACCACTGAAGGCGGCAGTGCTGGAGAGCTTCCTGAGGAGGCTCCTGTAGGGGGTAGAGTGAGGGTCAGGGGCCCGCAGGCCTCTTTTATGTGCTTCCTCTTTGTCTCAAGGGCAAGCAAAGCTTAGCTGGTAGCTCATTCCTTCTAAATCATCAGGAGAGAAAGTGACTTCTAGCTACTGAAGGCATTCAAGCCATAAGGCCTCATCTCTGAAGTGATGAGTCATCCAGTAAGTGATTAGCCTGGACAGGATCTGTGTTCCCTTCGAAATCTGAGATTCAAGGGTTCAGATGCCCTTGACTCCTACAGGTTAAAGCCTTGGACTTGTGGTAATTTGGGTTATCTACGGTTCCCCACTCCCACCCTGAGGCATCTATTCGCTGCTGGAACCCTTCCAGAAGTGCCTGTTTGATGGCATTTTTTTTATGAGCCTAGTAACATACACCAAGACAGTCTGCACTCAGGATACTCACAGAGCTAATTGTCAGGGCGACTGGAGCACAACCTGGGAGAAGCTTCGGCTCTGGAGGGCAGACCCAGGCAGGCTGAGGGGAGATGGGCTGAGGGGCAGGGCTCGGGTGGAAGAGCCAATGGCAAATGGAACCATCAGGAACTAACCCCTCAAGTCACCAGTGGGTACCCCAGGCCAGCAGATGGGTCTGTGGGTTCACACTCCAGGGGGCTGCCCATGGCACAGACAAGTCTACCCCTCTTTCAGATTTCCATGGCTGATCTGTGTCTGGTGCCTCAAGTGGCAAATGCTGAAAGGTGAGTGAGCACCCCACCTCCCTGCCTTCTCCTTCCTCTTCCCTTCAAAATTCCCAGCCTCCTGCCATAGTCAGGCCTGCACCACTGCCAGTGAGGGAGCATGTCCTGCAGAGGTTCTGGGCTGGCCAAGGAGCCTACTGACCCAGGCCACAGCAGCCACTTAGACCTGAAGGAGTCAGGGCTGGACGAAATGAGTAAAATACAGGTGATACTATAACACCCCTCACCTGGTGGGCATCCTAAAAAGAAGTCACTCCAAGAGCATTCTGCCCTTTAACAGGTGTGTCAGTTTTCCTGGCAGAGAAATCCTGCTTTGCCTTCTCAGCCCCTGCGTAGGGTCTGAGTGGGTACCTCTCTGTGGAAGGTTCTGCACTAGACACCACTGAGGATATGGAAGGAAATGAACAGCATATTCCCAGCACCCAAATAAGCTTCTGACATAGGAAGGGAGACATTCTGTAATAGATATAAATCCCTAGCACTGTGCCATACAGAGCAGTTCCCCAGCCAATGTCCATTGCTTAGAACAGGAGTGGTCCTGGGTTGGTCAAATGGTTACTATGCTCAGCTGCTAAAAGGTTGGCAGTTCAAATTGACCCAGGGGTGCCCCAGAATAAAGGCCTGGTGATCTGCTTCCAAAACAACTGTTGAAAACCCTATGAGGAGTTGGCTGCAACACGTTTGGCTTTTTGGGTTTGTTTGTTTGTTTGTTTTTTACATTTTGGAAGTTTGGGGGTTTTTATTAACTTTAATGAAAGTTTAACAGAGACTTTGGATTTCCATTCATTCATTGTTGCACTTTTCCCCCTGCCCATTGGCTTTTTGTTTTTGGAACAGAACAGTAGGGGATAGAAACGCCAGGCAGTAGGGCACATTATTGTTGTTGTTGTTGAGTACTGTGTTGAGTAGAAACCGACCCATAGCTGACCCTCCAGCATGTGTTCAGAGGCAGTAAATTGCACAGGAGGAGATTGCCCATCCTTCTCCCATGGAGCAGCTGGTGGATTTGAACCTCATGCCTTTGGAATTGCAGCACAGCTTCTTACCCCAAGGCCACCAGTGTTCTAGAGAGCTGTGAATAAGGGCCGCCTGCCAGGGCCATCTTCCACGTCCTCCTCTGTCCTGCCCCGTGGCCCTCACCCAGCCCTGCCTTGATGATACGTTGAAGCCCACAAGTAGGCTTTCTGTGACCCTCCAGACCATGGCTTAGGTGTGTGTTTCTCTGCCACAGGTTCAAGGTGGACCTCACTCCCTACGTCACCATCAATCGCATCAATAAGACCCTGCTGGCCTTGGAGGCTTTCCAAGTGACACACCCCTGCCGGCAGCCAGATACGCCCCCTGAGCTGCGGGCTTAGCTCCCAAACCCTGTCCCACTAGTAGGGGGAGTGGGAGAAAAGCTGGGGAGCTCGCAGAGCTGGGTGGTCTGAACAGGTCTAGAAACTTCATTGTAGAGAGTCAAGAGACTGGAAGTGTAACCCTGAATCTCCCTTCCCCTGAACGTCTTTCTTCTTTAGTCCCCCTTCTGTCACATGGGTAGAGGCAGAGCTGGGAGACCGAGAAATTATACCTGCTTTCTGTGTCATGGAACAGTTATGAAGATGAAATGAGAATGTGGATTAAAATGCCTGGCTAGACCCCAAAGGCACACGGTTCAAATCCATCAGATCCTCTGCTGGAGAAGGAGGGGCAATCTCCTCCTGTATCAGTCAGATCCAATTTGATGGTACACACACACAAAAATAATAAAATAAAATTTTTTAAAAAATGCCTGGCTAGTAGAAAACATACAGAGCTATGCGCTGTTCGGTGACCTGACTTCAAAGGATGCCCACACTAAAATGTAGTCATTAAACGGAATCCAGAGCCTCCGGGTTCTTTAGCTAGGCCTAGCTGGGCTCTGGGAGATGTACACCCTTTTTCAAGGGGGATTTCCCTGTGTGGGGTGAGTGTGTGTGTGAAAAGGAAGCCAGCCACTTGCCCAGTCTGTATCAGGCATGATCCCAAAGGACAAGGAAGAGAGATGGGTGCAAGCTTTGTGTGAGAGACTCACACACGATCTCGTGAGGGACAGATTAAAGAAGCTGGAAAGAAAGAGATCGGGCCCAGGCCATAGGTCCTTGTAATGAGATCTTTCAAGGAGGGTCCTGGGTTCTCAACTGCCTCTGCTATAATCAGTGCAAACGGCCTCTGACCAGCTAGCTCAGGAAGCACCCTCTAACTAGTAGTGGGCCACCCAGAGGGAGGACACTCTCATCCCTGATAATGTTCAACCAGAACCCAGATCACCTCTTGGCAGAGATGTGGGAGGGCAATCGGGGTGACTTAAACAAGATGACTTCTCACATCCCATCTCTGAGATTTCATTTCCTCTGCATAATGGAGGGTAAATGCAATTAAGATGAATAGGTCTTGTTCAAGTGAAGGCCATCTTTCTCAGCCCTCAGCTCCTGAGACCAAACTGGATTCTTTAGGGAAATAGTCTCCCTTCTTCATGTTCATTTGTTCATTTGTTCTTAATTGTCCTAGGTTCTAGATGCTAAAATGATCAGGGGGTCACTCCTTTTCTCTGAGTGACTTATCATGGCAAAGCCAGAGAGAAGCAAGGATCAGTCGATGGATGGGCCACCACAATGATAAGACTCAGGGGTACCCCATGACTGCCTTCTTCCCGTTGTAACCCTCTTCCTCAAGTTACTCCAGACTTTCCTGTTAGATGTTGTTGTTGTTGTTATGTGCCATCGAGTCGCTTGCGACTCATAGCGACCCTATGTACAACAGCCCTAAACCCTGCTCTATCCTGTGCCAATCTCACTGCCTCTGACACATCCATCCTGATTACCCCAGTCACTGAATCAGTCCACCCCATAGAGGGTCTTCCCCTCCTGTGCTGTCCCTCCACTCTGCCCAGCATGATGTCCTTCTCCAAAGACCTGTCTCTCCTTACAACATGTCCAAAGTATGTCAGGCGAAGCCCCAGAATCCTTGCCTCCAAGGAGCAGCCTGGTTTAACCCTCTCTAGGATGAATCTGTTTGTTTTCTTGGCAGTCCATGGTACATTCAATACTCTTCTCCAGCACCATAGCTCAAAGGTGTCAATTCTCCTTCTATCCTCCCTAGTCATTGTCCAACTCTCTGATGCATAACAAGCGATTGCAAAAACAGAAATATCAAAAAGTGGGTGACTTTAACAAACAGAAACTTAAATTCCTCACAATTGTGGATGCCAGAAATCTGAATTCAGGTCATCTGCTTGAGGAAGGCTTTCTCACTGCTGGCTCCAGGGGAAGGCCCGTTCTCTTTTCCACTTCTTTTCCTCCATTTCTTGGTGATCTCCATGTGGTGTGTATATTCCCCATTGGTTTTCTTCTCGTGTCTAATCTTGCTTGCTAAAAGTGAGGAGGACCTGAAGTGCTTGCTGCAGAAGGTCAAGGATTGCAGTCTTCAATATGGATTGAAGCTCAACATTAAGAAGACAAAGATTCTCATCACTGGGCCAAGTGGCAGCACCATGTTGGATGGAGAAGAGTCTGAGGTTGTTAACAATTTCAGCTTGCTCAGCTCCACAGTCAAAACTCTTGGCACCAGAATTTCATTGGGGAAGTTGTTGTCAGGGATGTCTCCAAAATCCTTAAGAATAATGATGTCAGTCAGTCTAGGAACTAAGGCATGTCTAATCCAGGCCATAATCTTTGCAGTTACTTGTTTTGCATCAGAGAGATAGACAATGACTAAGGATGACAGACGATGAATCAATGCCTTTGAGTTGTGGTGCTGGAGAAGAGTATTGAACATACCATGGACTGCAAAGAGAACTAAAAGGTCTGTATTGGAGAGGGTGAAACCAAGTTCTCCTTGGCGGCTAGGATTTTGAAGCTCTGTCTCACATACTTTGTGCATGTGACCAGGAGGGACAAGTCCTTGGAAAAGAAAATCACGCTTGGAAGGGTTGAGGGACAACACAGAAGAGGAAGACCCTGGGTGAAATGGATTGACACAGTAACTGGGGTAATGGTGGTAGATTTGCCAGAGTCAGTGAGATTGGGTTAGGATAGAGAATGGTTCAGAGCTATTATACTTAGGGTTGCTATGAGTTGCAGGCAACTCGATGGCACATAGCAGTTGGCTTAAAGTACACTCTGTGTTGGTATGATTTTATTAATAAAGTAAACCGTATTCCAAAATTAGATTACATAATAAGTATATGGGTTAGTTGTTGTTTGGAACCATTGAGTTGCTCGTGACTCACGGCAACCCTATGTAAACAGCTCTGAACCTGCTCTATCCTGTGCCAATCTCTGGGTCTCTGACACACCTACCCCCGTTACCCAGTCACTGAATCAATCCATCTCATCCAGGATCTTCCTCTCTTGTGCTGTGCCTCTCCCCTCCCAAGCATGATGTCCCACTCCAAGGACTGGTCACACCTTGAAACATGCCCAAAGTATGTCAGACAGAGCTTTGGAATACTTGCCTCCAAGAAGTCGCCTGGTTTCATCCTCTCAAGGGTAAACTTGTTTATTCTCCTAGCAGTCCATGGTATAGTCAATACCCTTCTCTAGCACCACAGCTCAAAGGCATCAATTCTCCTTCTGTCATCCCTAGTCATTGTCCAGCTTTCTGATGCATAGCAAGTAATTGCAAAGACTATGGCCTGGATCAGGCACACGTTGGTCTCCAGACTGACATCATTGCTCTTCAGTATTCTGGAGAGGTCTCTGACAGCAGACTTTCCCAGTGCAGTTCTTCTTTTGGTTTCCTGGCTACTGGTAACAAGAGTGTTGATTGTGGAACCAAGCAAACTAAAGCTGTTAACATTTACAGCATGTATTTTGGGGGGATATGAGTCAATCCTTGAGAAGGCTCACCCATGCTTTCTCCTCCTGCTTGAAACGGAAGTTGGTTAGAACTCCTCTTAGGTTTAAAGGACAAACACTGTGTGATCGCACACTCTGTGTGTGATCGCACACTATGAGTAACAAGAATAGGTAAATGCAGAGTAACAAAAATATATCAGTAATTAGCAGGAGGAGGAGGAGGGATCATTGTTTAGGAAACCATGAACTTCTATTTTTGGTGATGGAAAATTTGGTGCAATATTGATATTACTTGCACCACATGATTAATGAATGTAATTGAACTGTACTACATTGTACACCTGGAAAATGGTGACCTGGCAAATGTGTTAGGATATATTTTTACGATGACAGAAGACCTCGTGTGGTATTTAAAGGTGGGATGAATGCAGCAGGGTGGAAGGATGGCCCCACATTTCAGCTTGTGCTCCTCCAGCTCATATTGCAGAGTTCCTCCTTGGTCATGGAGATGATGGGATCAGAGGGGCAGCAGGCAAGTCCCAGGGTCTACAATTGACCAGATGGGTGGCTGCTGCCACTTCCCTAGGATTCAAGAAGCAGCCGGCTCTGCCTCTCACCTGCAGGTTCCTATGTGAGCCAGACTGACCTGAACCAACTCCCAACACCGCTGAAGTTCTCAAGGAAGTAGGGTCTCTCCCCCTTCTGCCTCCCAGCTCATCTCCCAGCATCCAGGCAGCTCATAAGACTTCTGGGAAGTGGGAGAACCAGACAGAACCTACATCTAGGCCAAGGTACAGAAACAGACAATTTCAGATTTTAGGATTGCACTGAATTAGAACTAGGTGTAAGGAGGAGATGAGCTATTTCCTAGAAGGAAATGATCCAGTGACTCGTCTAGCTAGCTAGTCACACGTTTACTACCTCTATTCAAGCTACCAAGCAGTGAACCCTCCGAGGTAAGTCCTACTGAGTCAGAAGCTAAGAAGTATTGATATGTGACAGGGAATATGATAGAAATGACCTCTGTTCTTAGTGGTTTTCTGTCCCCCTGTCCCTATTTCTGAAAAGGGAAATTTAATTGACTGGCCTTTAACTCTTTTTTAAAAAATTTTATTTTATTAATTTTAATGAACATTTACAGAGACTGGCCCTTAACTCTTACTACTCAAATTATTTATCTGCTGGCTATCTCTCTGCTCCAAGGTAAGTCCTAAGAATTAACATATTTCAACTCAGGTCTCCTAGACAATATCAAACTTTTGACTCCACCAAACATTCTAAAACTGGATGAATTTTCAGGAACTCTAAAGCAGGTGAAAAAGTGATGCCACCCATTTGCAAACGTTCTTTTTAAAGGGCACTCCTGACCTGATGCCTAAACCCATTCTACACATTTTCCTCACACAGATCCCATACTTCAACGGTATTCTGATCTGTGGCAAGGTAACACACACAGGTCTGGGGGTGAGAGGAAGGTAGGGAATTAATACCATGGATTTTCTTCTGGGCAGGGCACGGATGCACTAGCGATGCTTGAACCC